CTGGATGGATCTTTCTCAAATTTCATATGCAGGTTCCCCTTGGTCCCTAGTTGTGCATTGTACCTTTTTTGAACTGATTCACATTCAAGATGGCCGACAGTAGGCCATCTTGGATTTTGGAAGTAAAAGTTTGTTACCGCTATTTCTGAGAAAGTACTGGATGGATCTTTCTCAAATTTCATATGCAGTTTCCCCTTGGTCTTTAGTTGTGCATTGTACCTTTTTTGGACTGATTCACATTCAAGATGGCCGACAGGTGGCCATCTTGGATTTTGGAAGTAAAAGTTTGTTACTGCTATTTCTTGGAAAGTACTGGATGGATCTTTCTCAAATTTCATATGCAGTTTCCCCTTGGTCCCTAGTTGTGCATTGTACCTTTTTTGGACTGATTCACATTCAAGATGGCCGACAGGTGGCCATCTTGGATTTTGGAAGTAAAAGTTTGTTACCGCTATTTCTGAGAAAGTACTGGATGGATCTTTCTCAAATTTCATATGCAGTTTCCCCTTGGTCTTTAGTTGTGCATTGTACCTTTTTTGGACTGATTCACATTCAAGATGGCCGACAGGCAGCCATCTTGGATTTTGGAAGTAAAAGTTTGTTACTGCTATTTCTTGGAAAGCACTGGATGGATCTTTCACAAATTTCATATGCAGTTTCCCCTTGGTCCCTAGTTGTGCATTGTACCTTTTTTGGACTGATTCGAATTCAAGATGGCCGACAGGTGGCCATCTTGGATTTTTGAAGTAAAAGTTTGTTACCGCTATTTCTTGGGAAGTACTGGATGGATCTTTCTCAAATTTCATATGCAGATTCCCCTTGCTCCCTAGTTGTGCATTATACCATATTGGACTGATCCGAAATCAAGATGGCTGCCATCTTGGATTTTGAGAGTAAAATCTTGTTACTGCTCTATCTGAGGAATTACTGGATGGATCCTTCTGATATTTCATAGATATTGGTTTCCCTTGGTCCCTAGTTGTGCATTGTACCTTTTTTGGACTGATTTGAAATCAAGGTGGCCCACAGGCAGCCATCTTGGCTGTCAACAGTAATACAGCACAAGCATATTGTCCATTATCCACCTGTAATTGACTGCTATCTAATAATACTTTGGGATCTTTTTCAAATGATATTTGCTAATAGGTGCTTAATAAAAAATATCTTGTGCCATCATTGAGTACATTCAATGAAGACCAGTTCATGAACATTTACAACACCTGTAACAAACAAAAAAAAATAAACAAATCTTCAAGAACTGAAAACAGATCCTCAAATGGTGGGCGCCAAGATCCCTCTGGGATCTCTTGTTTTCATTGCAGGTGACAATAGGAGTAAAAACATGTACTACATTTGAAAACTACATGCATATATTTTAGTAACATGTGATTTTATTTTGTGGTGCTAGGAATCTGACACTGAGAGTGACTCGGATGAAGCTTCAGAGGATGAGAAGTCTTTGGTAACAAAATCAGAAGAAGTACATAAGGTAGAGTATATATCTCTGACTGACAAGTTGACCGAGTCCAATTAATGAAATATTATAAGTACCTTGTGTGTGCACATCTTTCATTTTCCAAAGTGGTTAAAAATACAAAAAGTAATGTGATTGCAATTTATCACGGACATTCATTACAAAGTTTGATGTTACTTAAGATTTCGATAACACTTCACTGAGAATTAACAGGGGCGTTCCCTCTTTCAAACAGCAGGAATATTCTCCACTTTTTTCAAATTTATATGTGATAGAGTGTGAAACTAGAACAAGTACATAACAATGATGAATAACCACAAGAATAGTAAAGAAAAAGTATGTATTGTGTTTAAATGCTGCCGTTAATGCATTGTCTCTTCATTTAGATATCACATGTCATCATAGGCATAGCACAGCATTGGGATTCTCATTATAGCACAGCATTGGGATTCCCCTAACAGCACTCCATTGGGATTCCCCTAATAGCACATTATCGGGATTCCCCTAACAACACACCATCGGGATTCCCCTAATAGCATAGTATTGGGATTCCCTTAATAGCACAGCATTGGGATTCCCCTAATAACACAGCATGGTAATTCCCCTAACAGCATGGCATCAGGATTCCTCTATTAGCACAGCATGGGGATTCCCTTAATAGCACAGCATTGGGATTCCCCTAATAGCACAGCATTGGGATTCCCCTTACAGCACAATATTTGGATTCCCCTATTAGCACAGCATTTGGATTCCCTTTGTTAGCACAGCATTGGGATTCCCCTATTAGCACAACATTGGAATTCCCCAAATAGCACAGCATCAGGATTCCGCTATTAACACAACATTGGGATTCCCCTATTAGCACAGCATTTGGATTCCCTTTGTTAGCACAGCTTTGGGATTCCCCTATTAGCACAACATTGGGATTCCCCTAATAGCACAGCATCAGGATTCCATTATTAGCACAACATTGGGATTCCCCTATTAGCACAACATTGGGATTCCCCTATTAGCACAGCATTTGGATTCCCCTAATAGCACAGTATGGGGTTTTCTCTTATGACAACCACATGTGTTACATAAAGAACTTAGCAAGACCAAATGATGTGTTCTACAATGAATGAAATAAAAAGTAGTAGTTTATTGTTTTGTTATCAATTTGAACAAACACATAATAGATGCAGAGGGTCTATCTTTGTGTGTCTTCATTATCAGTTCAGCACATAAAAGTGACAACAGATAGGATCAACAGTTTAGTCAGTGTTATTGATCAGACCTTAATCAGTACCAGCAGATGGTATCTCAGTTTTATTTAGTTTGTCACAGTCATGGCACATTACTTTTCTGGCAGCAGAGGTATCAATATTTGTGTTGAACTCGAAATTGTTCAATTAAATTACAAGACTATCACTACCAAACCTGCTTACTGTTCGTATACATTATAAGCAAGATCACCTTTCTTGTTACATGTAAATTGTATTCAATTAAAATTCAAACATATAGTTGACATTAAATAGGACATGATTTGTTGAAGTTTTGTGTTTAGCTCCACATAGAGCTTATTGATTCTCTCTTCATCAGCTCATTGTCTTTCCAACTCTTACATACTTGATATATAACCTATTGGTTTGGTAAGTTTGAAATAGCACTAAAATCAGGCTGTATACAAAGGGTAAGGTCCTCTGGTTCACAATGCATCACTTTGTGTGAATTTTAAATCATGACTTGATTCATATATGTAATATATGCACAAAATCACTATCTATTTATTCATTGTTAAGGTTGATGTTTCACTGAGTTGTAGAACAGAGAAAGTGCTTAGTGATATTTTCTGTTTTATATTACAAGATGTCAGATGTGGTCTTGATTCATATTTTACAGACATCTGATGATGAATCAGACTCGGCAGAAGACTCAGCAGATTCTATAGAGAATGCCACATCCTTGAAAACCAAACCTGGAAATGGTGGTCAGACAGAAAAAGACCAGGTATATCTATTGTCTGAGGATAGAAAAAGGACTCATCCCAACTCCTGATAACAACCTGTTTCCAACTGCTACAACAGTTTAATAACAGCGTAGCTCTGTTAAGGCTAGAGTATGGGTATGAAATCAGACTTGACATAATTACCTCCCTTCCCGTATGGGTTGTCTCCTTTGGGATGTATCTAGTTTTGGTTATGATTGGACTTCCTACCTTGTTTTCTTCTCTAGACCTGGCTTGTTAACAGATCAGGGTCACCATCTTAGTTGAAATTTTGACCAAAATGACACTGATTGGACAATTAAGTCATTAATTGTTGGTTTGGTTGCAGCCTCAGAATTCCCTTTCGTTAACAATGGCAACATGTGTCAGATGGAGTGTTTGCATTAATTAGAGAGTAATTACCATGGTAAATGAGTTGAAAGTTGTATAAAAATAGTTTATTTTTATTCAACATTTAACTAATTGTATTAACACCATTTTAAATAACAGGCCCAAGTTTTCATTGTTGATGGGATGTTGAAATAACATACATGTTGAGTGTCTTGAAGGAAACAATCACATTCAATTTTTCAGTCGATATTCAAGCACTGTTAAGTGGAAATGTTCCCATGAACACACCAGTAATGTTTTATAGTACTGTGCATACCCCTTATATGTATTTGACAACTTTGTTGTGATCCATTAATACCGACATCTGAATTTTCCAATGAAAAAAAAATACAAAAAATCACTATACTCCATGCTAAATATAATTATCAGCCAAATAAAGTGACAGGATTGATAGCCCCCACCTGTTGTTGTATTTTCAAAGCGTGGTCTAGCAAAGAGCAGAAAAACTGCAGCAGGCAATCCAGTGTAGTTTTGCTACTGTACAAGTTGTCTCCCTTTTGATGCATTAAGTTTTGCTTCCAAATAAGGTGTTTTTGCTGTTATATATTTATGCAGTCTCATCTATGACATTAACTGACAGAAGCTAAATGTTTGCTTGTATATTCTTATCAGGAGGATTCAAGCAGTAACTCGGATTCCTCTTTGTCTGATGATGAACCAGTCAAGCCATCCAAGATTGGCAAAGGTGGTCGCAAGTCAGGAAGTTCAGAGAAACCCAAGGTAAATGTGATGGATAGTGTTTAACATGTTGTTGAGAGTATTTTTGTCTGGAATACAAGATGTTTACTGAATACGTAGATAAAATAATGTCAAATGCTTGAAATGAGAACAATTTTTCAATATAATTTCTTTAATATTGCTATGAATTTACATACAGTTTCATTCTGGAGGTACTAACTATTTCATCTGGCATAATTTTAAAATGATGATTAAATGACACATACCTGTATAGAAATGTAGATTGTGTAGTACTGCATTTTTCTTGTTTTTTGGATAGATCAGAAAAAAACAATGAATATGTCTCATTCTGTCAGTGACAAATTTCACAAAATCCAGAAAACAAGGACTAACCTACAATCTGTTCAAAAAGTGGTCTCTTAAAACAGGTGACCCTATACACAGGTTCAGATTTTAGTAGAATCACTCGAAATGGTTATTCCTCATCAGAGTAAATCCAAGTTGGGTGTCAGGAAGCGGGAGTCACATGTCACAAAGTTACGAAAGATTTGTCGTGAGGCAGGCATCTTCATTCGTAGTAATCGAGAACTTGAGGGTTGTAAGACTGATGCCCACATTGTTCGGCGGATAAAACAGATCCTTGAGAAACATGGAATGAAAGGTAAGCAATTGTCTGTTGTGCATTTGCTTTCCACTGTTTAGCCAGTTTGATTGCTGGAACAAAATTTGAAAAGTATTGGTTCACCTGTTAGACTAGTTTAGTTTTGGATACCCTGGTGTTTGGTAAGGCTACTTGCATACACCCCCCCCCCCCCCCCCCAACTTCAGTAAATTCATCAAACAGTGATACTTGACTACTTGGATACATAAGAGCAGAGCATTCCTGTCAAATATGTTTGTTTTGTAACATGTTTCCATGTACATTAAGAAGGAAGCTCTGTATCTGATATATATCAAAATAAATTTGAATATATAGATTTAAGCATTAGCATTTTCATTCTGAATATTAATGATGCTTAACTACATAAATTGCCTAGATACAGGTAAATTTTATCTATCAACAGTTGGTCAAGCTGATGAAGGGAAGACCTAGTGTTGAATCATTTGGGGATAAATGTAAATTTTATCAATATCTACAATTTGTCCTCTGCACCCCTGGAACATGTCATGGCGAAATTGTAGGGTCCTTGTGCAGCACCTTGTGGACAGGACGAAGAGACTAATTTGATCTTTTTATTTTAAACTGTGTATTGTAATTACTTTGAAGTTTGGTGTCTCTCCTTTTTAATCTTGTGGAGTGTATCAGCCTGGGATTGGTCAGGTTTTTTTCTCCTGGAACCAATAAAATTCTTTGTGCCTTCAATTTTTCCAAGACATGACATAACTTTCCAACATTATTCAAAGCCAGTGATATTACCTAAAATAACATTTACTGGTACATTTGTAAAGTGAAATGCCTGTATTATGTCAATTTTATTTGCAGGAAGACCAAACATGAAAAAGGCCAAAAAGATTCGCCTGAAGAAGGAGGCAGCAGAACTCGACACAGATAATATCATCAGTAATGGACAGGGTAGGTAGGGCATAGCCAATGTTAGAGAAAGGGGAATGGTAGGTTCTGACAGAGGAGGTAAGATGTAACCCATTATTACAGAATGGGGGAGGGAAGGATCAGAGTGTACATGGAACATAACTCATTGTCAGAGAATGGGGATGGAAAGGTTCACACAAGGTAGGTAGGACATACCCCATTGTAAGAGAATGGGGATGGAAATGTTCACACAAGGTAGAAAGGACATACCCAATTGTTAGGGAATGGGGATGGAAATGTTCACACAAGGTAGAAAGGACACACCCCATTGTAAGAGAATGGGGATGAAAATGTTTACACAAGGTAGAAAGGACATACCCAGTTGTTAGGGAATGGGGAAGGAGAGGTTCTCCTTGGTCCTGAGTTATGCTCGTTTCATTTTAGGACTAGTCATAGAAAAAATAAAGGCCAACATATGACCATTTTGGGTTTGGCAGTTGAAAGATTATTATCGTGTCATCAGAGGAATTTTCAAACAAAACATTTTTTAAAAAAAACACACAAAAGATGGGATAAATTAAATTCTTAAAGTACAACTAAAGTTTAAATGATGGTGGACACCAAAATCACTGTAGGATTTCTGGTTTGTTACAATAAAAGGGAAGACGTAAATTAACATTGTTAAACTACCAGAAAGTTTTCAGAATTTAGAAAGAAATATATGTATGATGGACTGGTTCCATACATAACATTCACCATTTTTTGGTATGATTTCTCAAGAAGTCGATTTTAAAACTTTTGGAAATTAGCTTTATGAAAATAAATTTTGTTCTGTTTCAGCCCGGCCAAAAAGGAGAGTAAACAGTCTATTTTCACGAAACTCGCCCTCACGAATGAAAGATTTCACTCCACCAAGAGTTAAGTTTGGTCATCTGAAAGACATTATTGAGAGTGAAGAATCAGATTAATTTATATTTTCATGAAATAAAAAGCAGCAAATGATTTGATACTCCGGACATAACGAAAACCCTGTACTTTGTATATGAGGTTGAACCCTTATTATCACATATACAACCCTAGACATACTTAATACTTCACACAAAAGGCAGGACAGCTCACTCTGTGTAGAAAAAATGCCATGTTAATTTGTTAAAAAGAAAATGTGTACTGACTTTTGTATTTTCTGTATTTATGTCTGAAGTTATATTAATGAGAACTTACCATGAATATTTTGAATTACATGTATGTATTGTTACGATTTTTCAAGCAGGTTGTAAACTTTATTAAACACAATAACTGTCGAATCAAAATTTATTAATTTTGAGGAAAACAACACCAGAGTCCAGTGTATTACTTTTCCATATCAGAAATATTGCACCCATTGTGATTGATACATTTGAAAATTCAATATACATGATTGTATTCCACCTGTTTTGACTTCTGTGTATCGTGACACATGATAAATGACTTTAATACACTAGTAAGATTAACCAAGCTTTATATGTACAGTATTTGTGTAGATGGCAGCTAAGGTAGAACTACACAATCATTGTTCCTTTTTGTCTCGCCTGTGACATAAAGTCATGGATACGAGACCATGGTCTTATTTTTTCCAAAGTGACGACGTTGTTGTTGTCAATGTTTCACACTTAAGTAATACATTTAGGTCCGTTCAGATCTGAATGTTAGAAGCTAGAGTTTTGGGTTTAGCACAGTATCTTAACTGCTATTCAAGTCAAACGTAAATAAGATCACAATGTATTACATTGTAGTAAGGACATATGTACATACCAAATTGATTACATAAAATTTATCTTTGTTATATTTCTGAGACAAAATCAGATTTTCCAGAATGCGGTAATCTGTGATATTAAAGAATTTACAAAATTTTCATTTTGTATTTAACAATGCATCGAACATTTAAACATTATAAATCGGTGTTGTTTACATAGTATTGATTAGAATCAATTTGGAAATTTAGTACTTGGGAGGGGGAGACAGATATCGTGTACTTCTCATTTGGTTTAAAAATGATCATACTAACAAAAAGGGACAGGTGAGATTACCCATAATTCTTGTTTTAGATCCCTGTAATGTTATTTTCTATCCTTGTCAAGCATCTGTTGACACATAGCCGAGGTTTTGTCTCTGGGTCAGTATAATGCTTTAAGAAACATTGCGTTTTACTTTAGACCTTTTTTTGTGGTTTTATGTGGATGTTATCAAAGAGTGAAATTGTATGAAAATAAAATTTCCATCATTTTTCAACCTTAATTATTTTAAGCTTTAAAGTCGATTATTTCATGAAATTAAGGGTTAATTTTGATCATAGCAACAGAGGGAGACATTTATGTTTCAGATTTTCTCCATTTAAAGGAATAGATACTTTATTCCAAAATTTTAATGAGTTTCATTTGGAGCTTTTTTTTCTTTATATGCGCATTTCATTGATTGCTGTTAATGTCTAAAACTGATGAGAAGTAACTTGGAGGAAGTTGAGGGTTAGATATATATTTAAGAATGATAATTAGACCTACTGTCTTAAAGATGTTGTCTTTATATAAAGCAATCTGTTGTATGTTTGACTATGGAAATTGTTGGATAGCTAGGGAATGGGATGTTCTGTCATAGACCACTTTTTGTTTTCTTGGAGGTAGCTGCTAATTATAACCAGGATTTGTGTGTTTTATTATATGTGATTTTATATTTATAATGTTTCAGTATGAAACAGAAGCATGCTACACATAAGTATATGGGGTACAATCATGTAAATATTGTGTAAGAAGATTAATCTTATCAGTACTACAAAAACAATGGAGAAAATAGTCCGTGACTTTATTGTAAATCACATGATAAAAAATAAGCTTTTCAGCAATAAGCAGTTTGGGTTTATCTCCAAACGATCAACAACGCTCCAGTTGTTATTACTGATGGAAAAGTGGACAAAAATACTAGATAAGGGCGGAGAAATAGATGTTATCTATATGGACTTTATGAAGGCCTTTGATAAGGTGCCCCGTCGCAGGCTTGTTGGGAAACTAACAAGTTATGGTTTAAATAACCAGATTGTTAACTGGGTAAAAACTTTTTTGAGTGACCGAAAGCAAAGGGTAATAATCAATGGCCAAACATCAGAAAATTCTCCGGTTTTTTGTGGAATCCCTCAAGGAGGTGTCCTTGGGCCAGTAGTATTTGTAATATACATAAATGACCTTTCGGAACAAACTATTTCTAAAGCACTGATTTTTGCAGACGATGCAGATGATACGGAAATTTCCAGACATATTTAAAACGCTGATGATAGAGAAGTAGTCCAAAATGATCTCAATAAACGTGAAATATGGTCCACTACTTGGCTGTTAATATTCCATTCCCATGAATGTAAGGTTTTACCCATCAAAGTCAAACAAACTAGACATTGCTATATGTCAGGAGAAAGCAATCCAATTCTACTGGAAAATACCACAACAGAAAAAGATATTGGCATTAATATTGACAAGGACCTAATATTTTCATTCTTTATCCAGCAAATTGTTAATAAGGTAAATAGCATAATGGGTCTTATATCTACCTCGATGAAATTACTTTCAAACAACTATTCAAAGCGTTAGTCCGCCCACATTTAGAATATGCTTCAAGTGTGTGGAGTCCGTATCAAATGAAACATATAGAATCAATCGAAAGGGTCCAAAGGCGAGTCACTAAACTGGTCCCAAGCCTAAAGGATTTACCTTATTGTGTCAGACTTAAAAACTAGGGCTTCCAACGTTAATTTATTGAAGGTAAAGAGGAGACATGATTAATGTCTTTAAAATAATCAACAGCTTTTACGATGAAGAAATTACAGAGGGATGACTTCAAATTGATACCTCCTCCAGAACAAAAGGCAATTCAAAAAAGTTTTAAAAAAGCAATGTTGCAAGATGGATGTTTGAAAATACTCCTTTACATTTAGAATCGTCGATATTTTGAATGACCAGTCAGAATCGGTTATTAAATCCAAAACAGTAGTAGAGTTTGAAATTAATTTAGATAATGATTGGAAAAATTGGGAGATAAAATTTAATTACTTAGCCAGTTATAAAACCAGTCACTGGAGGTTTAACGTAATATACTATGTATTTTATACTGTATACCAGTAATGATATGGATACAGGGCAATTTAATGCACATCTCAGACCAGCAGTAACATTATCAATTACCAATGGTGACAAGGAAAAAATATCAGTGCTAATTTGTCTTAATGATTGAATGCATCATATTACATTTCAGAGAAAGAATTCAGTGCTTCAATTTACATAATGTAGCTTGCCAGTTTCTTTCTCCAAAATCCAAAATTCTGTGACATGTTCCATAATGAACATTAGAAACCTATGGAATGAAAACAATGACTTATAAACCATCATGTTGCATGTCTATTTGCTGAAATATACATTATATTTTCATGAAGTTTAACAATTATAAAAATATTAATTAAATTCGTAATTTAAGCTGATTTGAAGTTTTTTTTATTTGTTCGGTACAAGATACTTTTAGTAATATTTCATATAGCTATTAGAGTTACTTCCCTTCAACTACTGCTTGCCGAGGAAATACGCTTGTTAGCAGTTGAAAACATTAATTCTTATGGGAGGAGAGCTATACATATATTTTGGCATTGGTGCGGATAAAATTTCATCCGTAAATCAGGTGATAGGCTTAAATGCTCGTTCATATTTTATCGTATTGGTTTTTAGTTTTGTGTGTAATAAAGTTTTAGGCGGTGCATTTACTTTTCTCTAAATCGTCATTCAATACAGTTAAAATGCTGGAAGGATCTGACCATAATGACTCGTTATTGAAGTAATATATAATACAAACATCACTTCCGGAACCAAATTGGGTCACAATGTCTTTAATACTTCTCAATTATATATCTGTTTGGATCACGCACGTCCCTGGAACGTGGGATATATGTGTTTTAGATGTTGGCCTTGTCGAGAACATAAGTGCTATTTGATGGCAGTGATAACGAAAAGATTATTTAGTTTGGTGCTTACTACTGATCAATGAGTATGACATTATTATCTGTTGGTTTGGACAGAAACGTATAATACCGAAAATTCTAGTCTCTCTACGTTGTCTATAGAACTAATATGTCAGACAGTATAGATTTAATATACCTAAAGGTCCATGGTTTGGGTTAAATTGTCAATTTACTATTGAATTTCAATAGTTCTGCTGACTAGTGGGCATTTGACCTTTTATGTTTGTAACAAGTATAAGGTCAAATCGGTGAAGGGACCGTTCACCTCTCTACTGTGATGTGGAGTGGGTTTCAGAAGTAATGGCGAGTGTTAAAGGGATACATGGGTAATGGGGCATAAGATTAGTAAATTTGATGTGGCCATTTAAGTGTTTGATCGTACATCACCTCTGGACCACGTGTGATATAGTAGATTACTATGAACGATACCCAATTCTCTACTACAGCCAGATTACACCAGGTTATCCCAATAACACTAGTTGAAGGCAAGTATTCATGAAAAAGTTGCATACAGTCGGCAACCTTTTAAAAAATATTTAGATACAAACCTGTCCAATCACTCCTCAGCGAAGAACATTGTTGCCTTTCACATCAAAGTGTTAATGAAAAACAAGAAAATTCATTTGATATATGTATCTATTTTTAGAAATTGGTCCTTTTCGTCCACATTTCTTTTTAATTTTGCCCTCGAAAAATCATTTTGAAATCATAAATGGTATTAATTGAAGAGAATTAGTCCAGCTGTGAGAATTGCGGGTGTCTGATACATAGAAAACCGGTCGAGCGTGAGATCTGATCACATGATCATATATATATACTGCAGCTTCACGGTCCGTTTGAGTTGGCTTATGATACAGCTGTACAAATAAACAATGTGTACAAAGCATCAATTCAACTTGAGTAATTAAGCTGTTTTAATTCAGTTGTATTGAAATGTACTAT